ATAATAATAATAATAATAATAATAATAATAATAATAATAATAATAATAATAATAATAATATGTCTCACCTTTGGAAACCATGCATTTTTCTCTTTGTCCCAAAAGTACACACTGCCATCATTAGGATCTGTGTATGTATGAGTATCGTTTTCAAAACCAAATACTCCTTCCTGCGTCTTAGATTCATTATCATTTAAATTTTTAACATTTGTTTCTTCTTCCGTATTTTTTACCACCCATTCATTCTTTTCTTGATCAAACTTATATGTCACATTATTTGTAGGATCATTATATATATAAGATTGGCCATCAAATTTGTAATATTTCATGAAATCTTCAGTCTTATCCATATCTTGATAATTTGCCATTATAATTATTAGTAATATTTCATTAATAGATAATTAATCCAATAAACTTTGGCATAAAATTCAACACCTATATATATAGTAATAAAAAATTTTATATTATTATCAATTAAAAAAATGATTAAATTTTTTTTTATCAATTAAATAATTTTTTTTTGAGCTATCAATTTGTTAGCATAAGCAGGATTAATGATAATCATTCGTTGATAAATGATATTTACTTATTTAATAAAAATATTTAAATGATATCCAAAATACATTTGACTTAACCTAGTCGATTTATTATATTTTATATTAGATTTATAGAGAGAAATATCATAAATATAATATTATTTAACATTAATAAAAAAAACAAATTTATAGAATTTCTATATCAAATTAAATAAACTATAATATAAATTTATAAAAAAAAAAAAAGTGATGTAATATGTATATAGACTGAATATTTAAAAGTACAGGTTACATGCATAATATTGAAAAACAATATTTAACGTTATGCAATTCTATATACAATTTCTATATTTGTGAATTCTATATAATTACTACATAAATCGCATTCACATGATTATCTAATTATTTAATAACAACACAATTTTCTTTGATATGTCAAAATGTTATTCAAAAAAGTATAAATGTTTTAATATAGGTTAACCATATAACGATATATAACGAGATCAATACTAATATCAAACACCTTTAATTACAACAGATTGAAATATTCTTAATCTTATATGTTAATTCTCATATACTTAGATAACACTTACTCTTGTCAAAAAATAGCTCTTATTTAAAAAAAATGCAATCAATATTTTCTTAAATTTGACAGCAACATATCATTTGTAATATACAATGTGGATACCTGTTCGCGATACTAATGCGCTCTACTACGTAAGAATTTACTTGTATCACATGCGACATTATCGATTCAGAACGGAATGAGACAATAGCGCTATTAAAATTAAGCATAACCACAGATGAGATACTGAATAGATATGGCATGTAATGCTTTTTCGTGTCACAAGAATTTGAATGTTGTTATATATTATGATATTATTGCTTCAACACAAAAATGATTGTAGTATTGATAATAGTTGACATTAAAATTTAATTTTATTATAAAAACTTTAAATTAGATATAAGACAAAACAATTTATTATAAAAAAGTATTATTTCGATATGAACATGATTCAGGATCGTTTATTACAGCATACTATTATTATTTTTATTCTTGTATGAAATAAGAAAAAACACGAAGAACAATCGAGATAACAGCAAATTATAAAATAATAGACCAAACAACAATATTATTTTTTAGAAAACGATGTCTCATCTCATTAAACGATTTTGAACGGATGTCAAGATTTATGATTTTTCGCTTTCACTTTGATTTTTCATTTGTAACGAACTTTTTTCTCTTACTTACGAAGATTAAATAATAAATAAATAATTATTTATTAATATAAAAAATTGTTTCTATAAAACAAAAAAATTTCTTAAAAATCTGAAGAAATATTGTATGTATATATGTATGTATATGTATGTGTATGTATATGATGTATGCATGTATATATGCATGTACATATATGTACATATATTCTTAATAATATTTTAAAATAAAAACAATTTATATATATATTTTTTTTATATTTTTAATTAATGTATCTTTTTAAAACTTCGATGTATAGAAATTTAAGTTATTTAAAATTATTATATTATACTTTAATTTTCATACGATTGAAGTGAGTAAAAAACGGACGATTTCAACCAATCAGAAAATTGCTAAGACTTAGCAGTTAGACGAATCGCTAGTGCGCAGTAATATTAGTCTATTGTCAAGAATCGTGGCAATAATATTCGTTATATCGGTACATATAATTATTTATGTATATTTGCATATATATTTGCTTATAATAGTGTATATAAATTTGATTTTATTTGATTGTGATATAATTTATAAATTATTATAATTATTATAATCTATTTATTTAATTAATAATTGTATATATTTAATCATTTATTAAATATTATTATATCAAAATTTTATTATCGTTTTAACTTTCTTTATTAGTTACCGGTTTGTTCGTTGCTTATCCATTTGTTAGTTACCAGTAATTTATAAATATTATATAAATTTCTGATCATATCTAATTATAAATTGAATTTGAAATTTAAATATTATATTTATTTTAATATTATTTTAATTTTATTTTATAGATTTGGTTTTTATTTAATAATTAAAATTTATACTACAATATTATATAAATCATATTGTATAATATTTGATCATAACATTTGTGCAAATATGGTAGAGATATTTGATTTCTATTTGATGATATTTCTTTTTTAAATATTGTGTCTATTCGTCCGTTTAATTCACATTATTTTTATTTTGATTTTACGTTCAAGGCTATGAATGTTTTCTTATAATTTAATCTTCCTAGAAAATTGACGACGTATATCTGTTTGTTTTGAAACTACGCTCAAGACCTTTTCAGAAAATTGGTGGTTCACATTCGTGTCTTGTTCTCTGGTATGTTTCGACTTCTTGTCACAATTTCGAGTACATTCTTTTTGATCCAATTCGATAATTGAAATCGCGATGCAAAGTGTCATTCGAAATTTGTGCGTGTATCGAAAAACGCGTTGCTTCAGGTGCGTAATTTATTGCGTAATATATTTACTTATTTGACTAATTATTCTTTTATTTTTCTCATACTATTATTTAATTCAATAATTCAGTAATTTATATATATATATATATATATATAATTTATGTGTATATATATATATAATTTGAATATTATTATTATTGAATAATTCTTTGAGAAATAATTCTATTTTCTTTATTGATTTATTTCGAACATAAATTTCATTATTGAAATTGTCAGCTTATAAAATTAAATTTAATTTAAAAAATTAAAAAAAATTTAATTAAATTCGTGTATCGTCTTATCTTATCAATACAATCGATTCTAATTTCATACATTTTTCATATATTTATTCTAAAAATTCGATTATTTTTTTCTTTAATTGATTATCGAGACAATATCCTATTCTACGTAGAAAGTAATTCAATATGGACGCCATAATATGATGATCAATCGAAGAAATAATAATATTTAATTTTTCATATCAAAATAGATACATTTTTATTTTTATTTCTTTTTTTATTTGTTTGTATATATTTGTTAAATAACTGATAATCCATCTATATAAATTATTAGAAGCTATTACGAGAAAAATAGAAAAGATTAAACAAATCATAAAATTATTTCGAATATGTTAGGTTATATTTTTTAAAAATATATTCTTTCGTCATCTAATTTTCAATACATAACTTTGAAAGTATTTTTTTTAACAAATATATCCTCGATAAAGAAAAGAAATAAGAAATAAGAATAAAGAAATAAAATATGGAAAGAATAATTTCTTTTTTCCTTAATTTACTCTTCTAACGTAATTTTTCTTTCAGAGAATTGTGATTATGTGCAATGCAATCAATAGAGTTAGTGTTTGCTCCGTAATAGTATTTTAAATATTTTTTAGAGCATAATAATTTTAATTAAATTTAATCATTCGTGAAATTAGAATCAGTGTTTGTTCGCCGATTATAATTTAAACGATCGCGTTTATTTTTTCTTTCTCTCTTTTTAAATATTTATCTCGGATATATATTAAAATTACAAGAATATATAATATAATATAATATAAGGCGTCCATTAAAAGAAGAAAAGGTAATTATTATTTTCATTTACTTTAATTTTTTTAGAAAATATATATATATATAGTATCTTAAATTATTATATTTTATTTTTTGTTACAGTTTTTATTTTCTTTTACTCATTGAAGATTTCACATAGAACATAGAACATCAAAAAATAATACAAATTTTTCGCATCTAATGGGTAAGTCGCATATATTTTCATTCCTCTGATTACTCAATCATATAGTAGGATAAATGATCCTACGAATCGATACGAGTGATTGTTACGAGTGTATAGAATATATAGAATTTGTACAAGAATTGTACAAGAATTTTATACAAGCACGCAGTGACTATAGGTATTTATTATATCTGTGAATAGTAAATATTTTTTGTTTTATTTATTAAGACTCAGGTTAGGTCTTCTTGTATACATGGCACTTTTAAATATTAATAATTTTCCAAATTAATTATATAAAATTAAATCATTGTAATCCATGAATGTTTCCAAACGTTAAATATTCAAATATATATAAATATTCATGCATATATTCTAATAAATAATAAATAGTACGATAATTAATCATTTTTAATTTTTAATTTTTTTTTTTTTCATGTTAATTTTTTTAAACGCTTGATTTTCAAAATAATAAAGATACTTTTATTCTTCTCATTTAGAAATATAATATAAAAACGTATATCGTATGCAAAAAGATGCTAAGCGACAGGCAAATTTTGAATATTTCTTTTGTATTCTTTTGTGAAAATATTCTTTGATGAAAAAAAATGAGAATATTTTTATTCGTATTAAAATTTCATTTTGAGTCAATGATTTCATTAAATTTTATTTTAATAATAGAACTATATATCTATTTAATAGATATTTATTATATTATATCATAATTAAAATTAAAAGATATATGCTTGTGTTTATCGCGTGTCAATGGTAGCTAGCCATTCTCAATCGATTTTAAAAAAAATGATACGTAAACTTTATGCATATAATGTGATAAAATATTGAATATTGGATATGTTCTGTAGATTTGCACCCGGCCTTTATACGTGAGAATCATAAAGTGGAATGTGTTGGTATATTTGTTTTGTCGTTTTTTTAATATAATATATTAAGGATAAGGATAGATAGTATATTTCTAGTGTGACTGTTAATTATAAATAAATAAGTAGAGCCGGCTAGGTTATCACTAATCGGGTAGGCACGTTCTCTCGTGACAACTTATTTCAAAAAATTAAATTTGAAAAAATTGAGAGAAAATCTAAGGAAATGAACAATGCTAACATCCTCTATAGCTTGACTGATCGATTTTTTGATTTCCAAAGAATGGAAAATCATTGTTATTATTTTGTCATTGTGTTCGTTTTAATAATACGTAGTAAATGTATTATTTGATCGATTTACATGCCGGCTTATCGCATTCAAACATCATTTCGGGAAAGGCGAAAAAAAATTTTTTTTTCTAAACATTAATGTTTTTTTTCAGATAAAATATATAAATTATATTTTAATTACTAATTCAATAATTAAATTTATTACAGATACAAATTGAAGAAAAAGACGAATAGAAGAAAAGAAGATTGATCGTATTATTTGTCATTGAATTTTAATTCTTTTTTGTAATTAATTACAAGCTTTCAAAATTTTAACCTTTTCATCCGTAATAATTAGGAAACCAGTGCCATCTCTCGAGAATATATATAATATTTTCAAAGGCAAGGTAAGGTAGATTAAGAATCGAAAATCAGTGCCATCTATCGAACACTCTTGGACGTGTTTTTTTTTTTTCATGTATATTTTTTTTTCTATATTTTAGAGATGGTGTTGAATTCGCAATTAATCTATTTTTGTCTTTCTATCTCTTTTTGTTTATATTCGCTATTAACGCGTGATTATAAAGGAGATATAGGATGTGAATCGAACATGCATCGTTTCTCTTTCGAAACTGCAATGTATCATCTTAATCTTTAATCTAACACGAAGAATATAGATATTAACGTTCTGGGTTTTACAATGTATTTCTAGAACGATAGATAGATAAAATTGCGAAACAACGGTGCACCGTGATATCTGACGCGAATATTTTGAAAGCGATAGGATTCGAATAAAAAAGTTTGGAATGGCAACAAAATAAATATATAGGAAGAAATTTTGAAATATTCTTTTAAAAAATAATAATATCGAGAATTCGTTTGTCGATAATATTTTATTCTTTATTCGCTATGTGTAATCTCATCAAATATTACGTTAGATCTATTCTATATATCTTATCTCTGATTTTGTTGTATTATCAATTTTGATAATTGATATAAACCAATGACTATTTTCATTTTTAAGAATACGAAACATATTCTTTGAAATACTCGCTTACTTATCAAAATTATAAATGTGTCGAGATAAAATGTGACATGTTATTGATCAATCTTTCGATAAAATAAATTTTTATGTACTTAATATATAATATAATATAATATAAATGACACTTATTTAAATATAAAGATATTTCTTTATTTTTCGAACGAATCCTTCGGAAAGAAATAAAACGATTCCCACGATAACACGATGGTGATAATCCAGATACGATATCAACGGAGAAATTCTTTCGATAGATTCGAATCGGTCGATTTTCATCGATCACGGCAGGACCATGACAACAGAAGAATTCAGTCGGTTTGCGATGTGGCGACAGAAGAGGAACCGTTTTTTGATAGATCGGCAACAGCCTCTCACGAGCAAGATCCCACGAACTAAACTGACGAACACACGGATCGATTGGAATGCCGAAATAGCAAATTAGGGGATTCCAGGAGAACTGCCCTCTCTGTCTTACCTACTTCTTATTTCTTTCTTATTCTAGTTCCAAAGCTTTGTCCTCGTCCGCCTTGAACGCTACGATTCGATTCCATCGCTCCGTTCCACCCCTTCCGACAAACTTAATAATAGTAATGATCTGTCGCGTGGTTGAGTAGATTATCATCCAATCTTGATAATCGTTTATATAATTTTGTTCGATTCTAAGGATGTTAGCCATCGAGAAAATAATATTTTTATATCGAAATATAATATAAAAATATCGAACGGAATTCATTTTATATGAAAACGTAAAAATGGATATTCTACTATGGATAATTAAATACATTATTCCAAATTTTAAATCCAAATTTCAAATCAATCGTTTCTAGATTCAACTCGCGTATAATTACTCGCGTATCGCATAATCGCCACCGTGAAATTGCGTTGATTATTTCTCAATCGCCGAGTTACTTATCGTCCAATAGAGCGCGATATTTGCACTTCAAATGAAAGAAATACAACATCGAAGGTTTCCACATCGAAGAAGATTGCACAACAGGTATGCAACAACCACTCGAAAGATCCATATTTAACACAATGGCTACATATGTGCATTTCAAGTTTAATCCCTACGGCACAATTGTGTCGGATTCGTGCGTTGAATTAATAATGATGAAGCTGAATCGTAGCATCGTTACAGATATCTCGTTGCAAATAAAAAAGACTACTTTGACCTTTTTCATTGATTAAAATTATATTTGACACGATAATGATCAAGAATTTTTAAAATCAATTTAATTCCTTTAATTATACGAGCAATTTAGCATTAAAATAGTAATGGAAGAATAATATCTACGTATAAAATACCGCTATAATAAATGATATATATACAATGAAAATAGATCATTTTCAGAACATGCACTTGGATAGATGTATGTTATCTTTAATAAAAAAAAAAAAAAAAGAAAAAAAAATGGAACGAAACGAAATCGAAATCTATATATCCATGTATCGACTGTATAAATACAAAATTATCGATTCATACCGATCGTCCATCGTTTAACATCTTTTCTCTCTCGAAACTATCGAAAGATTCGATTCCAAAAAAACATCTATTGTCTCTCTTTCTCTTGGTTCGATTCATAATATTACCTATCTAATCATAGGTCGAAGTGCACGTATCCCCCTGGATGACGCGCAAGCTAGCATATTTCAAACATCTCGTCCCATTCAATTCGAGTCGAAGGGAGATACAACCCCTGTCCGGTAATATCACCGACGAATTTAATGTCCGACTATTAGCAGCGGGGTACGGTTGGCGCATTGTTGGAGTGGCCACGTGCAGGATGACTGGCTCGGGAGGAAACGTTTGATCGTCGAGCCGTCGTAGTACGAGAGAATACAGAGAGAAAAAGAGATAGTGAGAAAGGAGGGAAGGGGAACGTGAAAAAAAGGGGTCATGCATCGTATCACACTTGTCGAGGGTTATTGGATTTGGTCCATGCCACAGGGTATTGTTCACGGACCTGCCGCGTTACACGAGAGATTAGATGGCAGATACGACGAGATTCGCCACGGTCAAGTGTTTCGCGTCGTCTTTTCCCGCTATGTAACATTCTCGTTGTGTAACATTGCCGTGAATTTCCGGATATTGAGGAGGATCTCTATAGCAACGAACCATTTACTGTGAAACACACGTTTGCGCGTTAAGATATACATAGAATAAGCAAATAGGTACGTACGTTTCGATTTTTCTGAATAGTATCGATCGTATCGTTAAAATTTACATCATCGAATATTACATAAAATTTTATAAAACTATCTCGATATCTCGACGCGGAGAAATTCATCGTGCATCGATCATATCATAGATCACCATCCAATCCGGCAAAATGGAAGCAATGGAATCGATTTCTAGCCGGGTTTAGCCGATTCGATGCGAAAAAATGAAGGGTAAAAGAGGAGAGAATCTCTTCTTCGGAGAGATTCCGCTCGACGCGGCAAATTAAGCTTGGCGAAACACCGCGAAACTGTTAATTAAGACTCATTATGCGCGCGGCCTGGCTGAGCCGCTGTTCGGGTTTGGGGTTGCGAAAGCGGCGAAAGGGTGGCGAACCGAGAAGGCGAACGGATACGCGGACAAACGCGAAGAACGGACAGGCAGGGGGACGTGACGGTGAGACGAGAAGAGAAGCGAAGAAGGCAAAGGAGAAACGGAAAGAGATGGTGGAGGCGAAGTTAAGAGAGAGAGGGAAGAGAGGAGAGAGGTGGAGTGAGGAGTGAAGAGAGAGTGGGAAGAGAAGAGAGTAGAGAAGTGAGGAGNNNGGAGAGGATTGGAGAGGAGAGGTGAGGTGAGGGAGCGAGTTGCGGAGGCGGGTGAGGAGGTAGGGGGATGGTTTAACCCGAGTAGGAACTTCTTAATACCGTGACGGCAGAGTCGGGTTCATTGTGGGATCAATACAGAGACGACCGGGTGTAGGAGTGGCAACCGTCGCCTCATTGGACGTGCCGTTCCTGGTCGGTGATTGGCCGGTTGCGGAACTACCA